AAAAAAAAAAAAAAAAAAAAAAAAGGGGTTTTTTGAAACTGTATATATTCATAAATATATAATGTGTAAATCAAATATATAAAAATTCGGGTACTTTTCCCCCAAAATTAAACCTTTTTTTTTTCTTCTTTTAATTATTCTTTTTTCCTTTTAATGGCTGTTTGTTCAATAATTTTTTTTTTAATTTTATAATTTTTGTAATTTGATAACTCATAAATGGTACTGATAAAGAATTGAGTTAAGTTAGATTGTGAACCTTATTGGTATCAGTTGGGTCACCCATTCATTAAACTCAAATAGCAATTTTTTTTTCCAAATTTGATTCCGACAAGAACCACCCATTTTTGTGTGGTTTTAGTCGGTGTTTTCGTTTAATATTTTAATAAATTGTTGTATTTTTTGGCATTAATATTTTAATTGTTTGGGCATTTTTGGAAATGAAAAGAGAATAGAATTTTGTTCCATCCGACCATTTTAATACGAAAAAAAAAATGTTTTCAAACTATTCGAATAATTATAATAAAAAAAAAAAAAAATTATAAGGTTTTAGGGCATAAATTCCAATAACATCACCTACGTTCTCTAATGATCTTTAGTGTCACATAACTTTGTTCCTCTGACCTTGACACAATGATTGGATTCACCATGGTTCAATTAGTCTAACTATATCTGCACTTTACTATATGACCATGCATAAGAGATAATTCATTAGAGATTAATTAGAGATTTTTTAACCGTCCCCATATAGTCATAATCACGTGGAAACGACCCTTGTACTTGCCAAGTATCTTGATACTATGAAGATTCATTTACCTCAAAATAATGTTCTTGACCGAGGATGATTGGAGATTCTCTAAGCAGTAATCACATAATAACTTGATGGCAATACATATCACATGTATCTATAGCACAATTCTCTACCATCCAACCTAATCTAATGCAAATGTGGATCTTGTTTACTGAGACAGTTAAGATTGAAATCGACTAATCTTAATCGATTTCTACTAACCGTTCTTTCTTCAAATTGAAGTCTCAAAACTGTAGCTCAACCTTCACTAAACCAACACCACACAAAAATCGAACAAAAACTCTCTAACGACTATCAGTTTAAAAACTAACACGATTCATTTGAAATTCTATTCAATCTTCATTAGAAATGAGTTTGAAGTGTCTAAACCACATCATTACGAAAGGAAGGAGGCACGTAATCAATTTTCTCTCCCCTCACCAGCGGTTAAGGATTTTGGCGCTCGAACTTTGTATTTTGATTTTTTTTCCTTGAAAGTTTGTGTACTAAAGAATTTTTACCATTATATAAAAAAAAAAAAAAAAAAACAAATTAACTTTGTTTCTCACACTTAACTTTATTTGTAACCCTCCAAGCCCGCCGCTGACAGATATTGTTCTATTTGAACTTTCTCTTGAGATTTTTGAAAGGCGTATGTTAAAAAGAGGTTTCCACACACTTATAAAGGATATTTCATGCACCTCCCCAACCGATGTGTGATCTCACATCATTTCTTATTGTTTATGTGATGTTTCATGTTTAAGATTCAAATTTTGATTTAGTACCTGATGAGACAAAGATTCATCTGCAACAAGATTAGGTTACCTATCCATTTTATCTTAAATAAAAGTTGTTATGAAAAATAAACGATGGAGATCTAGAAATCAGGTAAGAAAAAGAATTTCCCTCATTTCTTGACCATTGACTAATGAAAAAAAGAAAATTATAGAGCAACCTTCTAGAAAGTCAACATTTATCTCTCACATAGTAANTAGACAAAAAAAAAAAAAAAAAAAAAAAAAAAAAAAAAAAAAAAAAAAAAAAAAACATAATTTGGGTAGGATCATACATTATAAATTTAATTCTAAAATTCGTTACATTTAAATAATATGGTCAAATTGCGTTATTAATATATTCAATTTAGTCTCACTATTGTTTGGTCAATCTTTCAAAGCATTCTACACTATATTACATAGTGTGACATATTTTTGTCCATATAATCTATAATCCAAACTTAGCCCAAAGTATTTTTAAAATATTTTTCCTTTTCTCAATTGGTATATAGTTTATCTCTCCCTAAGTTATTATTTCTGATTTATTTTATATTTTATTATAAAAAGTATAACTTACCATTACATATTTTATTATTATTTTGGAAGTTCATTGATATTTTTGATATAGTAAAACGTGACAGAGACAAACCTACTCAATTCAATGAAATTGTTTGGTCCATTTTGCATGTGACAAGACATTTTCAATTGTAGTCACCATGATCACGAACCATCCTGAAAGATTCACTGATAAATGAAGTATCTCCCTGGTTTGTATTCAAAATTTTATGATGTATTTTAGTTTTCAATTAAAAAAAAATCAAAATTAGCTCATAAAAAGTTTTCTTTTTCTGATAATGTTCTTGTTAGAACATCATTTGATAATGTTCTTGTTTCAGAAAAGAAAGAGCACGAATTGTATTAAATAGCAATCATGAGTAGGTTTTTTTTTGTTGGTTCCTCTCAAGACCAAACAATGTATAGTTGTACATAGTAGCTCAATGCTTAAGTCGACAATGAAAGTATATATGATTTGTACACACAAAAACATCACGATATAGGTTTCAACAATGAAACGCACAATCAAACGTCAAAAGCTAGGACATGAAAGCTCCATTACTGTTAGGGAGGCAGATTCAGGCAACGTATACCACACGAGGAGGAAAACGATGTGGAACAAATCACTTGTATTGACTAGGTGGCTGATGCAGAGGATAAGCTGGTGGCGGATAGTCTTCAGCATGAAGAGGAGGTGGGTAGCCTTGAGTCGGGGGAGGAGACGAGAAGCCTTGACCTGGGGGAGGAGGCGGGTAACCTTGAGTCGAGGGAGGGGGCGGGTAGCCTTGTGTTGGGGGAGGGGATGCGTAGCCTTGAGCCAGGGGAGGTGGCGGGTAGCCTTGAGCCGAGGGAGGGGGCGGGTAGCCTTGAACATAGGGAGGGGCTGGGTGTCCAAAGGGTTGTCCATACATCGGAGGAGGATATCCGACTGGACCGGGGATCGGTTGATTGATCCGAGACATCTGCTGTGTAGGAGGCACAGCCATGGCTGGTTGGGGTCCAAACTTGCCATCCCTTTTGTCTAACTCCACCTTGTGTTGTGTCTGCATTTCTCAATGGTAAAATCATCAGAAAAGCATAAAACTGATTCATATTGTACTGTAATACTATGGTTTTGCAACAGAAATTACAGATACTCCCATATAGAATTCAAGTATCTCACACAAGCAAGCAAATAATTAGCTCCATGATACATTTCAAGAAAATAAATTTCTAAAAAAATAATCAAGAAAATAAAAGGTGTCGAAGTTTGATTAAGAGCCATGTTCTATCAAGTTTGAGAGTAAGAGCGTTTAGATGATGGGAATGTTAGAAACCACGAACCTCCACAATGATATGATACTATACAAGTTGAGCATAAGCTCTCACGGCTTTACTTTTGGTTTCTCCAAAAAGTCTCGTACCAATGGAGATGTATTCCTTACCTGTAAACCCATGATCAATCCCTTAATTAGGGAATGTGGGACTCCTCTCCCAACAATCCTCTCCTTAATCGAGGCTTGACTCCTTCTTTGGAGTCCAAGAACAAAATACACTTTTTGTTCGACACTTGGGTCACTTTTGACTACATCTTCGAGGCTCACAATCTTCTTTGTTCGACATTTGAGGATTCTATTGACATAACTAAGTTAAAGGCATGACTCTAATACTACGTTAGAAACCACGAACCTCTACAATAGTATGATATCGTCCACTTTGAGCATAAGCTCATGGCTTTACTTTTGGTTTCTCCAAAAGACCTCATACCAACCATGTAATTACTCGATGTGGGACTCCTCTCCCAACAATCCTTAACAGAAAAGAGGATGTAGAAATCTGGGTTTGGGTAACGTGTCTTTTACTCATGAGTTTGTGATTTGTAACAAAATGGTAAGTTTCATAAGCTCAAGTTTATGTAACCTTCATGAGTTTGTGAGTTATGAAAGTCAATATAAAATGTGGAAAGTTATGTTTCATGAACCTAAGTTTATGTAAGTAGAGATTTAGATTAGCCATATGAGAAAAGAAAGAAAATCCATATACACCAATTATAGGTAGACATCTTTTAAGCTTTTTAAAAAATCGGGACATACCTGCATGCACGCACATACACTGCAAAACAAAAGAGTTCAATATTCTTAAAAGAGAACTTTAATGCCAATATGAGTTAAGAAGATTGAATGCAACCCCATACCTGCAGTACACAAGGTTAGATAAACAGGTCACTATATCTGAGGCTTCTTGAAGTTCTTCACTTCCAAGCAAGCAAGCAATTATGGAGCATATGCAAGCCAGTTGTGAGAGGCACAACATAAAGCCCTACAAAGTAAGACAAGCTTGTTAAGGGGAGAAAAGGCCGAGGCACAAGCAGCTTAATGAACGAATGGTTTGAGAGAGAAAACGACACGATGATGCAGTTATCACACTCAGTTGTCTGTATATTGAACTCGTCTTGCAACATGAAACGTGTTGATGCAACTGAATTTGTAAAGCAACAGAAAACCTGAAAAGAACATACAATTCTTCAAACTAGATCTCATAGGAGAATAAATGAATGAAATGATGTTTAGATAGCTAGAGGATCAAAGTGGACCATGGTTCTCGATCGATAAACGAACCTCGGTGCATAGACAAGCTTCAGGGCAGTGGCCTTCTCCACATTTGCCACTACAAGGCATGTAACCACCACAGCATTTGTATCTATGATAGATTAAGCAAAGGATTCAGCTATGGTACACACTTTATCTTGTGGTAAAATTACAAACCTTCGCCGAAAATACCTCGACATATCGTCATAAAGAGCTCGTTTCCGCAGAAGGTAAGAAGCACATGGGGCACTTTTCACACAATCAAGAAGCATTATAAGAAAAACCATATCAAAGTACTCTACAAAACTCAAAAGCAATAAAAAACGAATACCATTTTGAACATTACAAAGCAAGCATACATCTACATTCTTTTGAAGCCATATGAAACTTGCAGAATATTACATTGCATTAAAGAACTAAGAACACACATGTTCATAAACATAGCAAAGTTTTTCGACTCCGAAACTATGATTGAGAAGAACTCATCAGAGAACAAACACCTTACCAGAATATAGAAAAGCAACAATCTGCAAAACAGAAGAAAAAAATAAAGAAATAATCAGCGTATTTATATGGTTTGTGAGAAAATTGATTGGTCAAGCAACATCAAGATATTTAATAGAATAAACAAATTAAAGAATACCCTGTAGCAAATAAACCAATAGCCGCCATTTTTAACCCTTTGGAAAGGAACAGAGGTAGAGACAGGTAAAAGGTCATCGCAAGCAAAATCAAAGATGATTCGATTTTAGGTAATTTTTACCCTATCCCATCAACGAAACAGAGTAAAAGAAATCAAGTACAAAAACAAGATTTTCAACATTCTTCCCTCTCAATCGATTAATCCCAAAAATATAAGCAAAATCGAACAAGAAATTTGAAATACATACAAGGCGTATTGGCAGAAATGGTGCCCGTGAGATCCGTATGCCAGAAATTTCTGTAATCCTGACGAAGCTGCATTTTCTCAAGGTAATCGGCATGCGACGCCATGGTCGGGTTGCGGATGAACCACTTCAGAAGGGATTCGAAGCTAAATCTCGAAGATCAATATGGAAATCGCAAAGATATTCACAGTCAACAATGGAGCTTGCACGTTCAGGTTTCTTAGCGGTCAAGGAAGAAGATGAAGTTGGAGGTTTTTTTTTTTTTTTTTTTTTTTTTTTGAACTGTAAAGAAATTTTGATAATGAACTCTGGAATTTGTTGTGTTTTCCGCAAATTTTGATGAAACGTTTGAACAGAAATGGGTATAATTTGTCTAAAAGAAGAAATTCCAAATGAAAATTTGGTTTCATCCGTTATCAAATTATGTTTATATATGCATATACATATATATATATATATATACACACACACACATATATATTTAAAACTTTTTTTAAAAAAAATTTACTTCTAAAATATTATTAATTTTATTACCATATTTTAAATTCTTTTTAATAAATATCATATTAAAAGAAATTAAAATAAAAATAGATAAATTATTTTTTCTAAAATATATAGACTACAATTATTGAGTTTGACTGTCTTGAGCTAATGATGATCAAACACTATCGTCATTCATCATACCATGTTGTTGATAGCGAAAACCTTTGTATACCATATTTAGTTTTTAACAATAATTTTTATTATTTTATTTGTAATTTAATTGTTATCCATGGTATGAAAATACAAGGTTATAAATGTAAACTTGAACCGTATGTGATTGGCATAGAAGAGAGTTGTGTTTAAATAATAACCTGAAGAGTCTATAGTATATGGATAAGGTTGAGTGCATTATCCTGGTAACACTATTGGTACGACCCACTTTGTAATCGTTCATGTGGAGACATGTAAGTGGAGGTATCCTATACAATGAGTTTGTATAAGACTGGACCAATAAATATTTAATCTCTCTTTATAAATCCGTTAATTGGGAAGATTAATATTTCACTGATTATATGCGACTCGATCTTATCATGAGTTAGTTATGAACTCCTGCCTATGAGGGCTTGTCCTTTAATTTACATGGGTGAGAATAACTTTTTTAGCGGATTCAATATGCCTACCATGTTGGGTACTTGCCCAAATATTCTCTTAAGTACATTTCGAGATTTGAACAATGGAGCCTCACCCTCTCATTGGCCCGAGAGGGACTTGATTTATGATTGAATCATAAACAAATTGTTCATTAAAGAATCAATGGTACTTAAGGTGAAAGATGTAATTACATGAGTAAAACAGACTTTTGAACTAGCGGTAATTATGGACTTGCTTGTAATGATTATATTGGACATAACTTGTCCTACCGGCATAAGAGTGCAACTTTAGGTCTATAGTGGAGTGACCTATATTAATATATGAAAAATTGATTGATTAAAGAGTTTAATTAATTAATTTTGTATCATTGGAGTTCAATATATATATTGTATTTGATACAATTAAATATTAAATCAATGGATGTATTTTAATACCTGAAATAAAAATATATTTAAAATTTGAATGAAATACAAATTAATTAAATATATATTAGGATATCTTATAATATCTATATATTATTTGTATAAGGTATTGTTGAAGATGTTAATACAACACATGCGGAAGCAATTTGGATCTAAGACATTTTTAGAACATCAATCATAGTAAATAACTAGCATGTTCATAAGTTTTAAAACTTAATGAGTTTGAATACTAACCTTTTGTAGTTCAAATTTCTTTTTCCTCACGAACCGGTATCGAACCACCACTAGTGTCTTCTCCACTATCCTCCGGCCTTAGAACGGGATTGTGGAATCTGGTGAGTGACTAAACTTGGGAGAGATTTTGTATATATGATGAGAGTGTTTGTGAGAGGTTTTTCTCAAAGTTTTTCACCAACCAGAAGAACTTTCATGTATTATGATCACTTTATTTATAGAGTCATGTTTGCATGTGCAAATTTGAGATCACCAAATTTTGACACTCAAAATTCTACTCAAATGTTTTGGATTATGTGGCAAGCATGCTTGAGTTAACCAAATTTTGACACTCAAAATTCCACTCAAATTTGTGGGATTTATTTGGCAAGCATGCAAGTTTGGTTAAACCAAATTTTGACACCTCAAAATTTCACTAACATTTTTTACTTTCTTCATTTTGATTCAACAATCCATTTGAATTATTAATTTCAAATTAAAGTAATATTAAATGATTAATTAAACTATTTAATTAATATTTAATATTAATTCAAATGACAATCCCAATTAATTCCGACACATATTTGATTAAGATATTAAATCTTATTCAAATATCTTAGATTCTCTCTTTTTGTTTAATTCGTAAATAAAATAAAAATGCGGTTAAATATATCGCATATATGTAGCGCATTCTCCTTAATTTGAATTCGAACACTTCGAACTCACTCGTCACACTGTTCTATGGTTTAGTCCGATATGAGCTAGCAGAGGGACCTAATGGACCTATAGATCATGGGCTCCAACGATCCAAGATTAACCGGTTAAACTCATTAACCTTGTTAACCAACATTTGTTAACTACTAGGACATTCCACTATAGCCTAGTAGTTGCACTCCCCTCACTATAGATATATTTTTGTCCATTTGATATAACCATGATTAGTAAGTCGATCATTCACAGGTTGTTCGTAACTAGAGCTGGGTCAATTTACCGTTTTACCCCTGAAGTTACTTCTTGTTTCTTATGTCTCACTGATCCTCTAATGAACAATTGGTTTGTAGTCCAACCAGTAAACCAGATCCCTCTCAGGCCAATGAGAGGGTGGGGCCCCTTGTTCAAGACCTGGAGTCAGTACTTAAGGAACTACCTCTCTTCTATCCCTAATAATGGGAGGCCTATAGAGTCGGCGAACTTGAGCCACTCTCACCCATGCAAATCTAAGGATAATTCAACAGGAGTTCATAGTTAGCTCAAGATTAAGATCGAGTTACCTAGGTCATCGAATATAAAGAAAATCAGTTTCAACAGTAAACGACATTATAAAGTGAGAGTGATTTTCTTCATGGTCCAATCTTATGCAATACTCATTGCATAGGACGCCCCCACTCACATGTCTCCACATGTACAATTTTAGTGATCACCCCACGTCCCCAGCCATTTACCCAGTCTTACTCCTAAAATGGGAGGCCTATTGAGTCGGCGAACTTGAGTCACTCTCACCCATGCAAATCTAAGGATAATTCCGAATAAACAGTAGTTCATGGTTAGCTCAAGATTAAGATTGAGTTACCTAGGTCATCGAATGAAAAGAAAACTAGTCTCAACAGTAAACGACATTATAAAGTGAGAGTTATTTTCTTCATGGTCCAATCTTATGCAATACTCATTGCATAGAACGCCCCCACTCACATGTCTCCACATGTACAATTTTAGTGATCACATTGTTTATATCATATACAAAAGTGGGCCGCATCCATAGTGTCCCCAGAATAAGGTACTCAGCCTTATTCTTATACTATAGATCATTTTGACTATATACTTGAATTTGATCCACTCTTATGTCTCTACATATAGTTCAAATAATCATACTATAAGCCAGAGTGTTCTTAGTTTATTGGATTTAGATTAATGATCGTAAAATTCACTTTATTCAATAACAATATTTACTGGGTTTTAAGACATAGAACCCAACAATTATATCCTAATATATTAAATATGCAAATATACTTTTAAATTGAGTCAAAAGATACTAATCTCTTCCACTCTTCCACTTTCTGAGAATGAATTAGATCTCCACGGAATTCTTGAAACTCACTCTTCTTCTCCACAAGAGTCTCTTGCACCTTGTGTTTGAGTCATAGCAAAGAAGAACTTGTGGGATATGGAAAACGTTTGCATGGTTGGAATACTCCAAGAAGTCTTGCAAGCTAGAGTTTCTACAAAAGTTTCCCAATACTCAGATGAAGAGTTTATTCCCTTCAGTGACATCATGTCTAGTTTATTAACAGGCACAATTATGTATTGAAAGAGTAGTATGAGATAAAAGGCATTTGCGATTTTAGCTGATTTATCGGAGGCCTATGTCAGCGTCACAAACTTTTTTGTTTTCACGATGGAAGAGTTTATTCCCTTTAGTGACGTCAAGTTTATTAACAAGCACAATTGTCTCTCCCACCTTGTGTTCGAGTTATAGCAAGAACTTGTGGAATATGGAAAACGTTTGCATGGTTGGAATACTTCAAGAAGTCTTGCAAGCTAGTTTCTACAAAGGAAGAGTTCCCTTCAATGACACCATGACACAATTATCGTGCTGCAACCATGTATCGTATTGCAGATCTAAACAATTAGCAATTGTGTATTGTTGGTTGTGCATGCTACACGAATTTCTTTGTACTTTTTCATGTCTCATAATTTCCTCTTAGCTCACTTCATTCCCTTACAATTCCCTTACAATTGCATCAAAAAATACCACTATTTTTACCACTTCTCATACAATTGCATACCTCTTAGATCGCCATACATATGACCAGTTCAAAAGCCCATGCATGCATCAAGGGCCTCGCATGCACGTCAATAGGTCATGTGTGCCCACCAACCTAAAATTGCACACATGTTTCAACATGCCACGAGGAGTCATTTCAGGCCCAACAATGCATAGCTTCACCGCCCATGTTCGCACGCCAATGCAGTTATTCACTGGCTCGCCCATGCATTAATGTATGTTCAAACCAAGACGATGTAACATTCAACCCACCAAAACCTCATGCATATCTCAAAAGCGCCCAAGCCAACATCATGCAGTGCCTAACCCACCAAATTCTTACACACCCACATGTGAACGCCGTCGTGCCCAACAAGTGTGCCCACCAGCCCATAACTACCAACCCACAACCACGCTCACCAGTAATGTTGTTGCCTTCATCTTGAGTTCATCCATATTGATACAAAGGTGTTGTGACTTGTGCTTAGGAGGTCCATATACCTACAAAGAGGTCCATATACCTAAAAAGTTGCCACATCAAATGTCATAGTATTATCATGTAATTACAACACTGAAACACATTCCAATAGTCTTGCACCAAAAATCTCACCATAGGAGGTAATATAATTGTTGTATATTAACGATTTTGGGTTAAAATGATTGTTATTTCAGAGTTAATTTAAGTTGCATTCAACTAAGTAAGCAAAATTGGGCAAAACTTCTCTCTTTATTCAAGTAAAAAGCTACAATATTGAAAAAATATCAAGAAATAATATGAAGAAAGACGAGACTACTCAATATCCGGGGAACTGTGGTGGTGGTGGAGATGCATATTGGAAACCGATGTTTGGTGGTAGGATGAGGTCTTCGAATGCCGGTGGTGGAGAAGCAGCGGGAGGAGGAGGCGGAGATGCGGTAGGAGGAGGGGGAGATGCGGTAGGAGGAGGGGGAGATGCGGTAGGAGGAGGCGGAGATGCGGTAGGAGGAGGCGGAGATGCGGTAGGAGGAGGGGGAGATGCNTGTGGTGGTGGTGGAGATGAATATTGGAAACCAATGTTTGGTGGTAGGATGAGGTCTTCGATCGCCGGTGGTGGAGAAGCACCATGAGGAGGAGGAGGAGATGCGGTCGGAGGAGGTGGAGAGTGCTCGGGAGGAGGTGGAGATGCAGTAGGAGGAGGGGGAGAGTGGACGGGTGGCGGTGGAGAGGGGATGGGTGGCGGTGGAGAGGGGATGGGTGGCGGTGGAGAGGGGATGGGTGGCGGTGGAGATGCAGTCGGTGGCGGTGGAGATGCGGTCGGAGGTGGGGGAGAGTAGACTGGCGGCGGCGGGGATGCGGTCGGAGGTGGGGGAGAGTAGACTGGCGGCGGCGGGGATGCGGTCGGAGGTGGGGGAGAGTACACTGGCGGCGGCGGGGATGCGGTCGGAGGTGGGGGAGAGTACACTGGCGGTGGCGGGGATGCGGTCGGAGGTGGGGGAGAGTACACTGGCGGTGGCGGAGACTCGGTCGTCGGCGGCGGAGACTCGGTCGGTGGTGTCGGAGACTCGGTCGGTGGTGTCGGAGACTCGGTCGTCGGCGGCGGAGACTCGGTCGGCGGCGGCGGAGACTCGGTCGGCGGCGGCGGAGATGGAACTTCATGATGATGATGATGATGATGATGAGGTGAGGATGGAACTTCGTGATGATGATGATGATGATGATGAGGTGATGACGGAACTTCGTGATGATGATGATGAGGTGAGGATGGAACTGGGGGTTTACCCGATTCTGAAGTTGGTGGCCTACGAACCCGTATCGGATGGGTCGGAGATTGACTAGCTGGATCTTCACCACAACCTCTACACTTCACCGACTTCATCATAAAAGAGCTGCAACTCTCAACATCTCTCTGCTCCGGGCGATTGGGCAAGCAATTATGAACGTCACTAAAAATCTTTTTTGAATCTTTAGATCCCACACATTCTTTATCTTGCTGATTAAAATAATTAGAGGAGTAATTAAAGCCACCTAAACGAGGCAATTTGCATATCTCCCCAGAAATAGAGCCCCTGAGTTCATTGTAACTAACATCAAGACACTGCAAATTCTTGAGTCCCGACAACGTGGGCAACCAACCAGGAAAGCTATTGTTGCTGATATCAAGCACCGTTAGATTGACAAGCTTTCCAATCTCGACTGGGAGACAACCATCGAGGTTGTTGCCGATGAAGAGAACCTGGTTGAGGCTGCTCATTTGGCCAATGGTTTGGGGAATGCAGCCATGGAAGTAGTTGTACGCAAAGGACACAACGGAGACAGTGGAGTTTCCAATAGTATTCGGGATGAAGGAACTAAATCTATTGTTGTTTAAGAATATGGCGTCGAAGTTCATAGTGAAGAGTGCCGGTGGGACTTCTCCTTCAAAGTCATTGAACCTAAGATCGAGGTACTTAGCGATACGCCAATAAAAAACAACTTCTGGAAAATGGCCAACGAAGCGGTTGTTACTGACATCAAACTCAAACATGAGAGTGAGCTTAGAAAAGCTATGAGGAATTATCCCACAAAACCTATTAGAGTTGATATGGAACAATGCCAAATCTGTCAAGAGTCCAAGCTCGGGTGGCAAGTAGCCTGCAATATCAGCATGGTTCAAATCAATGCCAGCCACAACCTCAACAGTGGAGTCATCAAGGGCCGAAGTACAAAAAACGCCCCTATAAAGACAGACATCATTGCCAACCCAATTTTCAGTGAAGTTATATGGGTCCGAATATATGGCGGCTTTCCAAGCTTTGAGGGCAACAAAAGCCTTCTTCAACCTCTCATTTATGAAAGTTTCATGAGAATTAACTTCAACTTCATATTTGTAGTCATCTGGGAGTTCTTCGTGTTCTCTTAGAGCCAAAAGTTGCCGATTAATGAGATACGAAACTTCAGCTTTCGAGACCGCAAGGGAGACCAACGGGAGAGTGAAGACAAGTAGAAGGAAGAGGAGAAGAGAAGACATGGTGAGTTTGGTTTGTTGTCGGGGAGAATGAGGCCTTTTAAAGAGTTTAGCAGAGTTTGAATTTGTTGTTTGTGGTTTGGGATTAATTGTTGGGTTATTTGTTTAAAAATAAGAGGGAAAGAAAGAACGAAACCAGGGGGATCGTTTTAACTCAACACTTACCAAGTCAAATTTTATGGTAAATATGTTTTGTTATTAATTTTCCCTTATTTTCTTTTTATTTTGTATTTTATAAGAATGGAAAACATAAACATAAACATAATTAATTTATATTAACCTTATTATTAATATTTTAGAGATCCATTTAGTTTTTATTGTTTATATTACTCCGTAGAAAATGCTCCTTTTTTAAATTACTTTCACTCCATAGAATTAATTGTGTTTTACGTGTAAGGAGTAATGATATGAACGAAGAATGTTGTTCAAATTATTATAAAGATAAAGTCAAGTTTTATTAAAATTAAATCAATTTCACGTTGAGAAGAATTAAGTCTAGATACTTTAAATGCAGCTTCATTTATTTTTAAGTTACGTTGGCCAATTATAGTCCTCGAGTATAAAGTTACAAACTTTTGAAATATCGGATAAAATGTTTCATTTTAAGGCTATATGAAGTATATGTTATTTGGTAAAATATTTATATTTTTCTTCCGCTAATTACTAAGTTTCTTTGCCCATTTAAATTTCTTTGCAATTTTATATAGTTTAGATTTTATGTTTAGAATTATCACGATCCATCTTATTTGAAATAATTCAAATCTCAAACCTTGGTTTGAGATATTTGATCAACAAGATAATTCGAATCTTAATTATCTTTTAGTGATTGTTTATGAACCGAACTAGTATATTCGTTAATACAAAGTTGTGACGATATGAACACAATATCGGGACTTATGGGAGCATTCAAACGCAAAAGGTTGGTGAGAGTTTATGTAAAGAAAATTTTAAAAGATTTAACAACTATATGTCTAAATAAGATTTTATGTTTTTATTTGGATCATGTTTAAGTATCATAAAAGTTTCTCATTTAAATTTTAAATATATATTTTTTATTTAACGTATCTATTATATATTAACTATTTTTAATATTTGATGTACATTTAACCTCGAAGTCAAGTTGATTGTTTTATTAGATTTAAAAAATTTTGTTATAAATTTGAGATAATAACTCTAAATTTTAATATATTTACTTATTGCTTTGCAGAGTTATTATTATAATTTTAATAAATTATGTGTTTTTTAATAGTTTAAGGGCCATTTCATGATCTATTCTGATATTTTTCTTATTTAAACTAATTATGAACCAAGTATTAGGTATTTAATTTTTTTTAGTTATATGACAATGCTGATTTAATATGTTACAATTTTCGCGTGTTATTCGATTGATTTTTTTTTTTTGTGAATAATTATAGATTGATTTGTGTTCGTTTGTGAATTTTTAATATCTTTGATCTAAGATTATATCTCAATAATTATAAATTGTGGATAAATAAATTTTTTTACAGCCAAGGTTGTGATTTTCGGGTTACCAATCCAACCAACCCAAACTTTTTGGTTGGATCAAGAAAATCCCTCAATCCAACCTAGATCATGTACACCCCTAATATTTCGTTGGATCAACCCTAGAATCCCTTGTACTACTATGTCAATAAACTTTAGTCAACGTGTATGATGACAACTATTGAACAATCAGTAGAATGCTACTACATTTTGCTTTGCTTAGGATTGCATGAAATGAGTAGAGTGGAAAGGTATTTATAGCAGATATCTTTATTCCCACCCTATATAAATTATTTCTCTAAAATGTATAGACAATTTAGCAAATATCTCCATTCGTCGTACCATAGAAAAAACCTTCATATTTGCTCGTATTCAACCCTTGTGTAAACAACTCTACCACTTGGTATCTGTCTTGATCTCCCGCATTTCGATTTCTTTCTTCAGGACTTTCTCTGTAATAAAATGATAGTGCACCTCCACATGGTTTGTTCTAGCATTAAGCACCGGATTTTATGCTAGGCAAAATGCATATTGGTTGTCGCAATTAAGCGATATTGAATAGTCAATTTTTAGGTGCAAATTTTTCGTTAAGAGTTTTAACCATGTAGTTTTTTTAGCTGCTCCAGTCGTTGCTCTATACTCCACTTTTGTAGTTGACAATAATACCATTGGTCGTCTTTTGTTATACCAAGAAATTGTCCCGAACCAAACTTGAACACATACCCAGTAGTTAATCTTCGGGTATCGTGGTCTCTTGCATACTTAGCATCACAATAAACAACTAGCTTACAGTCTTCACTTCTTTTGTATAAAAGACCATAGTCGATTGTACATTGGACATTTCTATTTTACATTTGACCATAGTTGAGTCGCATCTAAATAAGGCTTCTTCAGATTTTGCATGTACCGACTCATAACTCCAACTACATAAGAAAAGTCAAGCTAAGTCAAGCTGAGTTAAAGTTACGTAGATAAGTCTACCTACTAATTATCCATATATCGTTTCATAATTCAACTATTTGCCTTCATGTCCACAAATCTTGGCATTTGGCTCTATTGGTGTCGAGACTTGCTTGCACTTAAGCATGTCGAAGTTCTTAAATGCATCTCTTGTATACTTTTATTGGCGAAGAAAAGATTATTCATATGTCAAATCAACTTCTAGCCAAATTTCCTTCTCTTTCATGCAACTGACTAACCACTTTGAATAAAAAATTCCGAAATCTTACCATACCAAGCTCTTGTTATAGTTCTAATGAGCTCCTAGGTCGTGTAGTTCCTTGATGACTTATTCCTTTGTCACCACTTTCATATCCATGCGGCTTATTGTTGCTTCGTCTTTGTCATTCACACTGTAGCATGATGATGTTCCTCTCCATTCGATCTTCTCTAATGAAGGACTTTGGATCTAGTTTAGTAATCTCTCGACATCTGTATGGAAGTTCTAAGCAATCATCATATCATGTTGTGAGATTGATAAAAACTTGTTGTCTAGAAGTTGTAACCTCATATTGTTTTTTTTTTTTTTTACAAAAGTGCTACGATCATGTCAAATGCTTCTTTGGTTGTCTTGTCATCCTGAATATATTCATATATTCCAACATCTCTTCTCCGACTATATTGCATTGTCTACTTCAATTCTCCATTTGTGCAAGACACAATTAGCATCCTCCTCTAGAGGCGTAATTTCACTTCTGCAAATGACCTCTAAAAGGCCTTGTTCTTGTAGACAAGACATCATGTATCTTGACCACGTGTTATAGTTGTTGTGAATTTTTTGATTCCTCCGACGATTTAGAGATCACTCCATTTTGTTTATACCTTAGTAATACCAAACAAGCTAGTTTTCAAAACAGAACTTGTAAAGTTATGAACTACTCAAGACACTAAAAAATTCACTTGCTGATAATCTCAATAATTTGTTTCTCATGTGGAAGATCAGACAAAACTACTGCATACTAAGAATTTTAAGAAATTAGACAACTTATATCAATCTTGCTGATACCACAGATTATTGAAACTCTTTTGTGGAAACACTCACACACTTTTTAGTAAGACCAATCTGATTGTCAGGTGAGACCCTATTGAATTAATGATGAAATACCACTATTTTTACCATTCCTCATACTCTGTTGATAGCATTGAGCTTGCACGGGTCAACACCAAATCATGAGCCCTCGCCATACATATGATGTCAAAATCCCATGCATGCATCAAGGGCCTCACGTGAACGTCAATAGGTCATGTGTGCCCACCAACCTACAATTGTGCACATGTTTCAACATGCCACGAGTAGTCATTCCAGGCCCAACAATGCATAGCTTCAATGCTCATGTTTGCACGCCTATGCAATTATTCACCGACCCGCCCATGCACAACATATACCCTGCACACATCCATTAATGTATGTTCAAACCAAGACTATGTAACATTCAACCCACCAACCTCATGCAAAGTCTCAAAAGCGCGCCCAAGCCAATATCATGTAGTGCCCAACCCACCAAATCCTTGCACACCCACATGTGAACGCCGTCGTGCCCAACAAGTGTGCCCACCAGCCCACAGCCACGCTCACCAGTAATGTTGTTGTTAGCCTTCATCTTGAGTTCATCCATATTGATACAAAGGTGTTATGACTTTTGTTTAGGAGGTCCATATATCTAAAAAGTTGCCACATCAAATCTCGTAGTATTATCATGCAATTACAACAATTATTTCATGGTAGTAAGCAAAATTGGGCAAAACCTTTATAAGTAAAAAGAAGCTACATTATCGAAAAAATATCAAGAAATAATACGAATAAAGACAAGACTACTCAATATCCGAGAAACTGTGGTGGTGGTGGAGATGAATATTGGAAACCAATGTTTGGTGGTAGGATGAGGTCTTCGATCGCCGGTGGTGGAGAAGCACCATGAGGAGGAGGAGGAGATGCGGTCGGAGGAGGTGGAGAGTGCTCGGGAGGAGGTGGAGATGCAGTAGGAGGAGGGGGAGAGTGGACGGGTGGCGGTGGAGACGCTGTCGGGGGTGGGGGAGAGTAGACGGGTGGCGGTGGAGACGCTGTCGGGGGTGGGGGAGAGTAGACGGGTGGCGGTGGAGACGCTGTCGGGGGTGGGGGAGAGTAGACGGGTGGCGGTGGAGACGCTGTCGGGGGTGGGGGAGAGTAGACGGGTGGCGGTGGAGACGCTGTCGGGGGTGGGGGAGAGTAGACGGGTGGCGGTGGAGACGCTGTCGGGGGTGGGGGAGAGTAGACGGGTGGCGGTGGAGACGCTGTCGGGGGTGGGGGAGAGTAGACGGGTGGCGGTGGAGACGCTGTCGGGGGTGGGGGAGAGTAGACGGGTGGCGGTGGAGACGCTGTCGGGGGTGGGGGAGAGTAGACGGGTGGCGGTGGAGACGCTGTCGGGGGTGGGGGAGAGTAGACGGGTGGCGGTGGAGACGCTGTCGGGGGTGGGGGAGAGTAGACGGGTGGCGGTGGAGACGCTGTCGGGGGTGGGGGAGAGTAGACGGGTGGCGGTGGAGACGCTGTCGGGGGTGGGGGAGAGTAGACGGGTGGCGGTGGAGACGCTGTCGGGGGTGGGGGAGAGTAGACGGGTGGCGGTGGAGACGCTGTCGGGGGTGGGGGAGAGTAGACGGGTGGCGGTGGAGACGCTGTCGGGGGTGGGGGAGAGTAGACGGGTGGCGGTGGAGACGCTGTCGGGGGTGGGGGAGAGTAGACGGGTGGCGGTGGAGACGCTGTCGGGGGTGGGGGAGAGTAGACGGGTGGCGGTGGAGACGCTGTCGGGGGTGGGGGAGAGTAGACGGGTGGCGGTGGAGACGCTGTCGGGGGTGGGGGAGAGTAGACGGGTGGCGGTGGAGACGCTGTCGGGGGTGGGGGAGAGTAGACGGGTGGCGGTGGAGACGCTGTCGGGGGTGGGGGAGAGTAGACGGGTGGCGGTGGAGACGCTGTCGGGGGTGGGGGAGAGTAGACGGGTGGCGGTGGAGACGCTGTCGGGGGTGGGGGAGAGTAGACGGGTGGCGGTGGAGACGCTGTCGGGGGTGGGGGAGAGTAGACGGGTGGCGGTGGAGACGCTGTCGGGGGTGGGGGAGAGTAGACGGGTGGCGGTGGAGACGCTGTCGGGGGTGGGGGAGAGTAGACGGGTGGCGGTGGAGACGCTGTCGGGGGTGGGGGAGAGTAGACGGGTGGCGGTGGAGACGCTGTCGGGGGTGGGGGAGAGTAGACGGGTGGCGGTGGAGACGCTGTCGGGGGTGGGGGAGAGTAGACGGGTGGCGGTGGAGACGCTGTCGGGGGTGGGGGAGAGTAGACGGGTGGCGGTGGAGACGCTGTCGGGGGTGGGGGAGAGTAGACGGGTGGCGGTGGAGACGCTGTCGGGGGTGGGGGAGAGTAGACGGGTGGCGGTGGAGACGCTGTCGGGGGTGGGGGAGAGTAGACGGGTGGCGGTGGAGACGCGGTCGGGGGTGGGGGAGAGTAGACGGGTGGCGGTGGAGACGCTGTCGG